TATATATATATATAAATATTATTTATATATATATATATATATATATATATATATATATGTGTGTGTGTGTGTGTGTATGTATGTATTCTACAAAATTGTGTAAAGAAAATCAATTGATTTAATACGGTAATATACGATAAAATCGATTATCGCGTGATGTGTGTTTAATATAAAAATATTTTCTAATGAACGTATACAATGAGATAATACGTTCTAATCGTGATAACGCGTATAAGTTCATGTGAAGTTTTCTTTTTCAATTTTTCAATCTTTTTTCCTTTTTTCCTTCTTCTTTCTATTCCCTTACGATATAAAGATTAAATTACTGAGTAAATAATTCAAGAAATAATTGTTTATGAATGAGCAAAAAACCAAGAAAGAAAATATTACATAAGGGAAACAGAGAGAGACAGAGAGAAAAAGAGAGAGGGAGAGAGAGAGAGAGAGAGAGAGAGAATGCATAATAATGAATTATTTATATTAAAGAATTTATTATAAAGTTAACTGTAAGAAAGTAATCGTCATAATGTATTTTCATTTAGCTTATCTCTTTTTAATAACAATGATTGAAAAATTTTATTTTACCTTGATACAAAGAAAAACACACACACATACACACACACACATATACACATACACACATACACACCACACATGGAATTATTCCATACGAATGTGAGAAGGCAAATGACGACGCGATAATTTGTTTATGTTTCTCTCTCTCTCTCTCTCTATTTGTCTGTCTATTTCTCTCTTTATATGACATAACATTACTATATTATTTGTGAGTGAACATGTAAGTACTAACATCATAATTGTACACATAATCTTTAAGTCTTTTCTTAGAATAAGAAGATTACCGAAGAAAACAATTATCAATCCACAAACAATATCGATTCAATCGAAATCGAATACAATATCGATTCTCTCTCTATCTCTCTCTCTCTCTCTCTCTCTCTCTCTCTCTCTCTCTCTCTTTTATACGTATAACTATGACCTTACGTTAAATTAATGTCAATGCGTGATAACTTTCCTTCTTCCTTTTTTTTTTTTGTTTATTTTCATTTTATTTATTTATTTACTTTTTTTTTCTACTTTCAATTATACGAACGACAAAAGAGAAATATAAAATATTAATCGATAACATTATAAATAATAATTTAAAAGGAAAAAAAGATCAGAACTGATCTGATCTGATCTGATCTATGATCTGATTTGATCTGATCTGATTGATTCGTCATACATGCATAATAATTATTCGACGAGAATTAATTACCTTTAATAATATTGAAATATTCATTTGAATGAATTCGAATTTTTCATTAATAAAAATTCAATATATTATGATATATTACAATACGTGATAATCTTATACTTTCAATTGGACTTTAATAAATTCCGATAACGTTCAATATATTTATATTTCACAGAGCACGTTCCCGATAAAAGAATAATTATTACTTTATTCTAAATTAAATGATAAGAATATATCGTAAGGTGATAATCTAGAAAGAGAGAAATTAAAAGAAAAGAGAAAGAAAAAAAAAATAAGAAAAAATTTTTATCGTCGTACATATCTACCGCGAAGTCATTCCTTCGAATCATATATTATAATGGAAATATATATATATATATATATATATATATATATATATATATATATAAAATATTTACGTATTATTGTATTATCATCGATCACGCGTATTTGATGATAAATAATACGTAAATCATTGATAATTAATAATAAATTAATTAATACGAATCTCTCACATTGTTTTGTTTTATAATAAAGAAATTCATAAAGTTCATAAAGTCTTACTTGTACTTGCCAATAATAATGTTAACGCGTTCGAATACACCAATAAACTGAAAAATTATTGTTTACACATGATAACTAAATACGTCATATTTTAATGACACATTCAACGAAAGAATTATTTATTATTAATGGACGAAAAAAAATATTAATTTCAGTCGAGTAAATAATAACACGCGATATAGATATACATACGTATACGTTGATACATCTACGATCTATTATCAACAGAAATTTAACATTTAATCAGGACATATACGATCGTATCAAAATCAAAATTTTATATCTTATAATTTAATGAAGAAACATTGAAAGATGATTATTATCATTTAATCAATAATTTTATCCTTGTCGAATGTATAAGTTTCATTTGTTTTCTTATAATGTAAACTTTGTTTTTTTCTTTTCTCTTACTTTTATAGAAAATCACCATTTAATGAGCAATCATCATTTGCTTTTCTTGTTCCTTTTCTTTTCTTTTTTTTTTTTCCTTTTTCTGTTTCTTATCGAAACAAATATGATTAAGCGCGTCGAACATACGTAAACCGCGAAGGATTAATTAAATATGTAGGTTATGGAAACATTAATGTAAGAAGAGTGGGGGGAGGAATGAGGTGGGGGGAGGAATTTGAACGCCATCTATGATATTTTTGTAATACTACTACTACTACTACTACTACTATTACTACTATTACTTGTCGATAAAGTCGCATTATGACATCATCGTATTCCAACAAAATGTCACTCGACACACGAATATTTACAATGAATTTATTTCATTAATGCGTGCATTAAAACAACGATACGGCATACATATACATATACATATGTAGAAATTTAAAATAAAACAATGATGAACGCGGACGATCAATTGCCAAATATCGAGAAAATATTTAAGAATGAAGATGAAGATTTTGTACCTGGAGCCGGGTAAATATATATATATATATATATGTATACATATATGTATATATTTATATTTATATATTGTTATTTTAACATTTAACCTATATTACTCTTAATTTACATATATCTGTGATAATGATGTTAAATACTTTTTTGTTTTTTTTTTTTTCCTTCCATTCTTTTTTCTTTTCGTTTGTTTGTTTTTGTTTTTAGATCTAACTTAGCTGCTATTTTTGGAAATTATACAAAAGATCAAGATATATCCTGTGTAATAAAACAGCCCGGTCAAAAAAGATCTAGCAACAAGCGTAACAGTTTGTCAACTCCTTCCTCCACTAAAACAGAAGTTATAATAGCAAAAGCTATTCATGCTTATAAATTGTACATTTATTCTCTTATATATATATATATATATGTATATGTATATACACATACATACATATGTATGTATGTATGTATATATATATATATATAAAAACTTATTTATTACTATTGTTAAATAATTATTTTTAGGCAAAATGGACAATATATCTCAATTGGTAAACATGGAATAGCATTAACAGGAAATATTTCTACTAGGATATATCAAATAATTTTATATAAAACCAAACAGGAATACGTTTCAATAGTTACCATAACAAGGAAATTTACATATACCGTACAAATTAATAATTATTCCACTTATTATGATGACAATAATGAAAATTGGTCAATTTTATTTGAAAGTAATGATGCTTGTATTGAATTTGCCAGAGAAATAGGTCTAGCTAAATATTTTTCAAAGGATGACAAAATAGAGAATATAATTTATCAAGATTTAACAGCTGTTATTAAAGACAAAGTTACGAAAGAAGGATCAAGCGTATCCATGAAATATTTTATTAGTACGGACATTCAGCAACCATGTAAAATAAATTATTCGTCGTTACAAACAATGACAGTAAACATATCAATGGACGATAGTTGGGAAAGAACTCTTATAGGAATTAGTAAAGAATTAAAAAGGATTTTATTTTTACCACCTAATAAACAGGTAATTTATATATATATATATATATATATATATATATATATATATATATATATATATTGTTTTTCATTATTAATTGAATTGTAATAATATATTTGTAAAAAGATCAAACTCTAATAATAATAATCAATCTCTTATAATAGATCAGTTTAGGTCCAGGTTTTCCAAAAGATAAAGATATTTTAATGGAGATAGAAGTAACTAATATACAAGAATCAGATGAACAATATTCTTTATCTAAACCTACAGTTTCTGGGAAAGCGTCATTGTTATCAAGAATGGCTAAAATGGGTCAATCAATTCTTCCAAAGATGCAAACATCAACGACTACAGATTCTGAAGATACAGAGGTATTTGAAAGTAATAAGTGTGATGTTTTTTTTTTTTTTTTTTTTTGAACTTATATAATCAAAAATATAATTGTAGGATGATTCACCGCAAAAGTCACCACGACATAAAAAGGTATAAAAGTTAATACCGTATTAAGTTTGTAGTAAAAAAGACAGAGGAAAAAAAAACAAACAAACAAACAAAAGTAACAAAACACGTGATCATTGTATATTACGTACAATACTGTAAGATGATTTAAATTGAAAAAAATGTTCCTTTTTCAGATGGAATCTTTAGAAGTGTCATTACAAAAAAAACATATGACGCAAGAGACATCTGGTAATACAACACAAAGTACTTGCAAAGTAACAAAATCGAAAAATAACGTGCCTTCGACAAATCCCATTATATCTAAACCATTAATCTCTACTGCTACCTTTTCACAACCATGGCCTGCTTCGCAATTACAAGTAATTCAAATTTATGTCTTAATATGATTCCTTTTTATTTTTTTTTCTTTTCTTATGTTACAAAAAAAATATTGTTATCCGACATTTGCGTCATTTTAGTCAAATTATATAACATCGAATGGTCAAATGTATTCCTTACAACCACAGCCTGTAACCCAAGCAGTATCTACCGTAATTGATCCAAGTTTAAATATGCTTCTGTCAGAAACTA